GGCTCGCCGCCCCCGCACCAGCAGAGCTGCCGCCGACCAGCCGCTGCCGCCCCCGGGAAGGGAACCCGCTTATAAAGGCGGCGCTGCCCGACGGGAGGGGCTTCCCAGGGGTGGGGCAGGCGGGAGCGGGGAGGAGAGGAGAGGGGAGGGGGATGAAAGCGGAGGTTGGAGAGGTGGGGATAGGAGGATGAAAGCGAGGGGAGGGAGAGCGCGAGAGGCGGGAGGGAGGACCAGACCAGGAGGGGGAAATGGAGCGACTGACGGTCGCGGAGAAAGGAGTGGGGCGAGGAGGTGGGAAGGGGTGGGGTTCCTGCGGGGAGGGACCTCTCCACATCCCGACCTACTGCCTGCGAACGAACGCGGAGTCTGTCTTTTGGGGGCGGGCTGGAGGGAGGACCAGAATCCTACTGACCCCCCAAAAAGCCTTGAGGTTTTGCCAAGGGATGGAGGGGGGAGCAGATGGAGAGGCTGGGCAGGTATTTGAGAAACCAAAAGCTTAAAGAGGAAGAGGGTGGGGGAGCTACTTCCACATGGCGCTGGATTTCCCCCGCTCCTCTTGTAGCTACATTCTCTGGGTCGCCCTGAGAGGGGATGGGAGAGCAGAAAGGGCAGCGCACCCTCTGTCCAGCCCTGCTGGCTTCCTCCCTTCCTGGCTCGCTCTTGTAATCCGAGGGGCGTCAGAGGCCCTCCAGACTCCATCTTCCATCTTAGATCTCTCTTCACTGGCCTGCCTCTCCTCACTTCTCTTTGCCTGGTCCTTGTATTTTTCACCCTTCTCATTCATCTCTACCCAGTCTCCTCCCTCACCACCATTTACCTCTGGAATCACCTGTCCTCACTTTTGCACTTTCGTTTCCACGGCTACCCTTCCATCTTCCATCCCTCCTTATCTATCCCAGACAACTATCCTTGGCTTATCGAATCTTTCACCTAAGGCCCTAGATAGACCCTTAGCTGATTTGCCTCTTGTTTGTGTCGCTACTTCTCCCTCCGCCTGCTGCCGTCTCCCCCAACCTTTCTGTCTTATAATTGTCTCCTAAAGGAGGGTCCCCGTCTGGAGCTCCAACCACACCCTACGGTAGCTAGGCGTCAGTCTCAGTATCTTTGGGTCATTTTGAGATGCTTGGGATTTCAGGAGCGGACAAGAGCTGTGGAGGGAGTCTAGAAAGGTCTAGAGGGTGGATGGGGTGGGACACGTGGGTTTGAGGAAAAGATGTCTTTGGTTTGTGTGCACTCCCATGCTTGTCTGTCATTGTCAGTACTCATCTTTTAAAATCTTTTTCCTAATAAAAAATGACATACATGGATCTATCACTGAATGCTTAAATACACCACTTTTTGGTCCCTTGGTATACACACCTACCAGTTTCTTTCTTCTGAGTTTTCTATTAGTTTCTCATTCTTGGCCTCCTCAAAAATCTTGGAGCCCCACCCAGATTTTTCCTTGCCGGACTCTGTCCATCTTTTTCTGAGATCTTTCCATCTCTCCTTCAGTCTGTTCTCTGACTCACTGGCTGATGTCTTTACGGTCAGAGACCGACTCCATCTCTGTACTCCCCCCCTTACCCCCCCCCAGGCTCCCAGTCTCGCTCCCTCCTCCCTTCAGTCTCTTTCCTCTCCCTCCTACCCTCCTTTCCACCTCCCGTCCCGCCTGCAGTCTCGGACACCCTGCTGGGCTCTTACCCTGTTGCCCTGGTAACCACCCCCCACTCCGGTCACCTCCACTCCCCTCCCCCTTCCAATCACCGCCACCAACAACCTCCATCCACCTTCCTCCTATTTTTCCTCAGAGCCAATAGGAACCCTGTTGCCAGGTGGAATGCTCATTTGAATCAGCCAATCCAGGAGCCTAACTGCTTGTCCTGCCTTATATGGGGATTTGAGGAGGGCCACTCCCCCCACTCCAGCCCCACAGGGGACCAGCCCCTCTACTGTCCTTTCTCCCCGCCCTGGGGGAGCCAGGGATCCTCCCTTTCACCCTGCAGTAAAAGTCCTGGCCTCCCATTTCTCAAGCTGGGACCCCCAGGGTTAGTGGGGGTGGGGGGGCAGTGTGGGCCGGACTGTGGGCTGGGCCTCAGGGCCGGGGGTGGGAATGAGGTGTGATTAGGGAAGGGGAGGCGGAGGGAGCCGGGAATTTTGCCCAGGGAGGGGTGTCTGGGAGCGGAGGCAGCTGCAGTGGAAAATTCCAGGGAGAAGGAGAGGCAGAGAATGGGAATCCTGCCCCAAGGCTCAAGGGAGTGCCTGGAGAATTTAAGAGTTGGGACACTAGAGTCCACAGGGACCACGGGGGAAAAAGATCTAGGAAGTAGGGGCCGGGATCTCATTCCCAGCCTGTAAGAGAGAAGCATCCCTTAGCCTTCCATGTCTGGCTGGACAACAAACCCATCTCCTGGACTCTTATTAAGACGAGAAAAAAGCTGGAAGTGAGACTTGAAATGAATCAGGAGTGAGTGGGAGGTTGAAGCTACCTCCGTGGTCCGTGGTCAGTGTCCCTGCCTCTGGAGCCAACAGCGTCCAACTCTCCCAGCCTGGGTCTGCCCTTCCCTGGCACTGTACTGAGGCCTTGTAGCGGCCTGTTCCTAGAGTTCTATTACTACACGGTTCAACTGAGAATTTCTCCTAGTAGTTGAATGGGGAAACCCGTGCTTCTTACACCTCTTGTGAAGGTGGCAGAAAGGAGGCCAGGTGAGAATAAGGGAGGCCTGAGCCTCCCAGAAATCATGACTTCCAGTTTGACAGCCTAGAAATGCACCTCACTACAGTGCGGAAGGCGTTTGATTCCTATTATTTCTATCTCTATCTCGTAAATGAATTATTCTTCTCCAGCTTTTTTTGTTTGGATTCCTGGATCGATTCTTTGCCGGTGTATCTGCTAGGTGAACTGCTCATGAAAACCTAGGATCACAAGGTAGGGGAGGGAAGCTGAACCTGATTTTTCATTTACTTTTTAAAAATGTCTCTTTGGGGGAGGGAAATAAAGATTTATCTTTCCAAAACTCACATCAGTGGAGTTTTGAGAGGAAGTAGACTCTCAGAGCGGTCTCAACGAAGCTAACTTTGATCATCATTGTTAATCAGTGTTATTTAAGAAATAATCTTCACAACACCAAGGCATATGCGAAGTCTACCCAACAAGTCTTCTCCATCCTCACCTCTAAGGAGAGTTAAATGCAACAAATTTTCTTTTCACCCTCAGTCTGGAGCTGGAACTGCTGTACTTCAACTAACTTGTTGAGCTCCTATAAACGTTAGACTGTGCTATGTGATGGAGACACAAAGCTCAATGAAAAAGTTCCAGTCCCTGCCTTCAAGTAATACATGAAGGGGGCTGAGTAACACCTTGGCATGAGAGCTGTATCCAGCACCTCCTCTCCATTCATCAGTCTGTTCAGCACTGTGCAGGTCTCTATGGGTTCTCCACTTCAGGAAGGCTGCCCTGGTCTCTTCTGATTTTGCAATTCCTTATCCCAAAGCCCAGCTTTCTTCCTTGGTTCCCGCACCCTTACTGATTGTCCCTCATTTATTTTTATTTCCTAGCCCCTTACATGAGGTTTTGTACTCAACTGCAGTCTGTTTTTGCATAACTTGAATAGGTAATTTTGTCTGCTTAAACTAGAGAATTGGAAACATGTTTCAATTTGTGGCTTTGAGTGAAACTCTTCCAGGAAGTTGAAACAGAGCTGAACCTAGAAGAGGAGAACCTGCTGCATTGTTTTAGGGTTCTAGAGACCTCCAAAGAAGGCAAGGAAGCTTGCCTCTATTGGCAGGACTGAACAACCTGGAAAAAGAAAAAGTCCTGGTAACCTCAAGAAGAGGAAACCCCAGGTGGAATCTGGTGAGACCAACCTTGTTCCTGAAGCTTTCATGAACCGTGTGTCAAGAGTTCACTATGACCCTGTATGGAGTATTCAAACAAAGCTAGCTAAAATTTGCTCTTTGATTGTTCTG